CCCCCAGTTCTGTTGTTTTGCTCATTATCTAGAGTTTCTCTCTGGGAACATTCCAACCAGGCATGATGTCAGCCTTTGAAGATGAGTGGGCTTCCCTGGTAGCTCAGTAGGTAAAGAATCCGCCTGCACTGCAGGAAGGAGACCCTGGTTCGATTCCTGGGTGGGCAAGATCCCCTGGAGGAGGGAACGGCTACTCACTCCAGTATTCTGGCCTGGAGAATTCCATGGACTGTATACTCTGCAGGGTCGCAAAGAGTTGGACATGACTGAGCAACTTTCACTTCATTTGAAGATGAGTAACAGAGATCAGACTTCTCCTGACTTAGTAACAGTTCCTCCACTGGGGTCACAGGTGACTGGCAGGGCTTGTCAAAGGAGAACTGCAGAGCAGGTGGTTGAGCAGACGTGTGTGTATCCGCAGCGCTCGGGTCAGGCAGAGCTGACTCTGTGACCCCGTGGACCACAGCCCACCAGGCTCCTCTGTCAGTGGAACTTCCCAGGCAAGAATCCTGGAGTGGGTTGCTATTTCCCCCTCCAGGGGATCCTCTGACCCAGGGATGAAACCTGCATCTTCTGCGTCTGCGGCACTGGCAGGTGGGTTCCCTACCACTGCGCCATCTGACAAAACAAATGTGGCCTCTCTAGAGCAGCTGAAACGTGGATCCAAACTGAGCCCTGTTCTACGTACAATGGATTTCAAAGACTCACTATGAAAAAGAAGATGTAAAATATTCCATTAATACCATAAAATAATACTGATTACATTTTGCAGGCTGATTCTTTATCACTGGAGCCACCTAGGAAGCCTTAATTAGAATCGAGAAGCTAGAATTAATCTACAGAGCCATACTTTTTTTTTGGCAGGGGAAATTGGGTGGGCAAGATCCCCTGGAGGAGGGAACGGCTACTCACTCCAGTATTCTGGCCTGGAGAATTCCATGGACTGTATACTCCGCGGGGTCGCAAAGAGTTGGGACATGACTGAGCAACTTTCACTTCATTTGAAGATGAGTAACAGAGATCAGACTTCTCCTGACTTAGTAACAATTCCTCCACTGGGGTCACAGGTGACTGGCAGGGCTTGTCGAAGGAGAACTGCAGAGCAGGTGGTTGAGCAGACGTGTGTGTGTCCGCAGCGCTCGGGTCAGGCAGAGCTGACTCTGTGACCCCGTGGACCGCAGCCCACCAGGCTCCTCCGTCAGTGGAACTTCCCAGGCAAGAATACTGGAGTGGGTTGCTATTTCCCCCTCCAGGGGATCCTCCGACCCAGGGATGAAACCTGCATCTTCTGCGTCTGCGGCACTGGCAGGTGGGTTCCCTACCACTGCGCCATCTGACAAAACAATGTGGCCTCTCTAGAGCAGCTGAAACGTGGATCCAAACTGAGCCCTGTTCTACGTACAATGGATTTCAAAGACTCCCTATGAAAAAGAAGATGTAAAATATTCCATTAATACCGTAAAATAATACTGATTACATTTTGCAGGCCGATTCTTTATCACTGGAGCCACCTAGGAAGCCTTAATTAGAATCGAGAAGCTAGAATTAATCTACAGAGCCATACTTTTTTTTTGGCAGGGGAAAGGGATGTGGCTGGATTTGACCAGAAGCATAATCCAAAGCTCAAGAGACAACGAGGCGGCAGTGTCTTGCCTGGATTTTTCTGGAAGCCGTGTCCTGCAGAGCCCCTTACACGTGATGGCACGCCTCGTGGAATGCTCCCCATGCCGTGAACAGACCATGCCAGAAAGAGAGAACGCTCCTGCTGGTGCTGTGGGGGAGATGACGCTGCAGGCTGAGGCTCTGATGACAGTGAGGCGTCAGCGTGACGGGAGGGGCTGCGGGGTCCCCCAGAGAGGGGGCTCAAGGGGCCCAGGTGCAGGGGGCGCCCTGGGGCAGGAGGGGGTCCTCCTGAGACATGGGGCTGCGCCGACCGGGTTCTGTCACCTTCTGGACACGGCTCCTTGCTAGGACTTAACCGACTCCCAGCCTGCGGCCAGTCTGCCCGCAGGAAGGATGACAGCGCAAGGTCTCAGCGGCTGCTGCCTCCGGCCCGCGCAGCGCCAGCTGCAGACGGACGGGGTGGGGTCCGCTCACACGGGGGCCGTGGCTCAGCCTGGGTGGTGAACAAGGGGGGCTGCCGACAGCAGCCCGCGAGGACGAGGCTCTGGTAACAGACGTGCCACGGGCCCACGCGGGGAGCACGGGCACAGGACCCCAAACGTGGGGGACACGCGCGCACACACACCCCGAGGCAGGCTGCCCATTCCCCACCAGCGCCCTGGTGTCTGCTGCCTTTGAGTCTTTGGCTAAGTGATCAGCTCAGTTCAGTCGCTCAGCCCTGTCTGGCTCTTTTTGACCCCATGGACTGCAGCACGCCAGGCCTCCCTGTCCATCACCAACTCCTGGAGTTTACTCAAACTCATGTCCATTGAGTCGGTGGTGCCATCCCACCATCTCATCCTCTGCCATCCCCTTCTCCTCCCTCCTTCAATCTTTCCCACCACCATGGTCTTTTCTAGTAAGTCGGTTCTTCGCATCAGGTGGGCAAAGTGGCTAAGGGATCGCCTCCCACCGTTTCCAGGCTTTGGGCAAAGCCGGCAGCGTAGGGCACAGTGGCTTCCGCACTGTATGTCTGGGATGGTCTCCCTTCGGGAGGCGGGGTCCTGCCTCACATGCCAGGCAAGAAACGTCACCTTGGGAGGGAAAGGGAGAGCGAAGCGCAGAAGAGCTGGGTGCAGAGAGTCCCAGTGTCGGGACACACACCTCTGACTGTGCCTCTTAGGAGGCTGAGGGGGGCCCCTGGGGCCCCCCAAGTGCAGGAGCGGACGCTCAACGTGTGCTCATCTCCTTCCGACGGCCCTGCTCCAATCTTGGGGCTTCTCACCCACTGACTATGCCCTAGCTGGATTTCCAGGGGATCTGATGAGGCTTGGGGTCAGACAGGAAGGTGAATATAAAGCTGTGCGCTACCCTCTGCCCAGTTGTTAAACTGACTTCTCTGCTGTCTCCTTCCATGACTTCTGTGGGCTTCCCGGTCCCTTCCTACCAGGATGCTAGAGCCTGCTTCTGGCGGGCTCACCAGGGTTGTGGCTGGGCTTCTCACAGAGCAAGGCGGGAAAGCCCTACGTGACTGCACAGCTTCATAACGTGAACACAGAGCTCTGAAAACTCAAATGCAGCATTTCAACATAATAAGACTGGGGACACCCCGAAAAAAAATTGTCACCATCTGTGTTATAGTAAGGGAGAGGTGGGCAGTTCATTTAGTCATGAGAACACTAAAAACAATTAACTTCTTAACTCATCAGGATCAACCCTTTTCCCTTTCTATCTATGATCAAGAATCTAGGGATAATGGATCTTTATAAAATTGCCCAGGATCTGTTAATGACCAATCCCCTTGCCTTTCCTCGCTTAACTCCTTTATTCCCGTTCATCAAAATAATTTCTTTAAACCAACGATCACTGCGGGCAGTGACCAGTATGAAGGAAGGTACCTGAGCCCTACACAGCTCTGATCAAGTCAGTCCGCTTGCCCCGTGATGAACTGTCCAACTTGATTTCAGAAACTGTTTCAGACAGTCACTGGATTACAGTCTGGTCTACTGTCTTCCTGCAAGAGTCATGTGAGAACTGAGTTCTTTTTTTTTCACTTCCGTGTAACTTCAAACATCCTTTAAAACCCACACTACAGGTTAACTGCGAGTTACAGGGCTGCACTGCTTACGCGTCTGCTTAGCAGTGGTGGTTCCTTCTTGGAGGGGTGGGCAGTCTTTATTTCAATGGCCAGCAAGCTGAGTTCAGCAAAGAGAGAGTGAGGAGACCTTGCCTTCAGGACCAGGTAACTGCAGCCTTCGGCAGAGAGACGACTCTGTCCCGAGAACGCCTGGCTGTGTCTCTTGGGTCTTTTAAACAAAGGAACAGGGGAGGAAGGATGGAGCCTGCTGGCAGGCTAGGAGGGACGGTCTAGAACTCGACATCAGACAGCTGGGGAGGGTCTGGAACAGATGTTCTCCTGTGGGAGATGCCACAAGCTCCCAAAGTGGGGGTCCCTTTGCTCAGCAGGCCGGGCGGCGCTCAGAACGAGGAGGGGGTCGGCTGCGGCACCCCGCGGCCTCTACCTGGCAAGTCCATGCGCAGCGAGGCGGTGACGCCGTTATCCTGCCAACGAGCTGCGGGCGCCAAGCTGGCTGCTCGCACAGCTTCCGCCGGGAGAGGGACGTGGCCGCTGGGAGGACGAGGGACAGATGTCTGCATTTGGGTCATCGGTCATCCCTGGGAGAGGAGAGTGTTCTAAAAACACGCTAGCTCCAGAGGTGGGGAAGAGACATTGGATGGCGCATAGAAGAGCAGTTCAAGGGAGGAAGCCAAGAGATGTCTTGGGCCCGGCCTTGCTCGAGGGCCGACAGGAGCCCTGCTTCGCGAAAGCAGCCCTGCCCTTCTGTCTGTGTGACCGTGGGCGCAGGATGACACGGGACGGGGCCCCCGGCGTCGCCCTTTAGAGGCTGTTCCACGCTCCTGCACACCCACCTCGCTAGGCTTTCCTCTCCTCGTCCTAAGACGGGAGCCTGCTATTCATGAGGTCCCCAAGGGGAGGGGAATGTCTAAAAACGGCTCCCGCTGAGTCCCGCGACTGTGAAGCTGGCCCCCGTAGCCTCTTCTAGCAGAAACGACAAACTCCCAGGAACACTCCTGAAGAAGAAAGGGTCTGTTCTCTGGGACTCATTCCTGGTCCCCTTCCTTGCCCCCCAAGTCTCAAGCCCTGAAATTATCTTAGCACTCTGTCATCTTGGAAACACACCTATGCATTCATTCACACACGTGCGTGGCCGTGTCTCTCTACGCACATGTATGGAATCACGCACTGCGCTAATTCAAAGTGATTCTATAAGTGGGGGCGGGGGCGGTCTGCTTGGGCATTAGTTCTTCCTCGTATATAAAGGAGAAGGTTAAGTTCACAAACTGTGGTGCTGTAGGCTATAGAAATATCTACTCACAACCTGCTTGTATCTCAGGGGGAGTATTCAAAAGCATCATGGCAGTGGCAGCATCAATGTCAGGATCTGGAAAAATCAACCAATAAACAACATTATTTACAACGGGGCTGATGTGTGTGTGCGTTCTTCCCCCTGCAAGTTACACTTTACGAACGCAATAGAGGAAAAAAAAAAATTCAGGAACTTGAGTCTTCCATGGTTGGCCCAGTGGTTGAGAATCCACCTTCCAATGCAGGGGAATGAAGGTTCAATTTGCTCGTCGGGGAACTAAGATTCCACATGCCGTGGGGCAAGTGAACCTGAGTGCCTGCTTGTTACAACGGAAAGAAGTCCTCTCGCCACAATGAAGAGCCCACACATGGCAACAGGGATCCCGCAGGCCGCATCTAAGACCCAACACTGTCAAAACAAAGAAATACATTAAGAGCCCAGACACTAGAGGAGCATTCCCAAAGGTGACTTTCTCCCCGTTGGGATGTGCACAGAAGAATGCTGCTCTAGGAGATTTAAGGGGCATGTTAGCGAGGCTTTCGGACACAGCCCGGGTTCCTCTGCATTGCACTCATTGTGTGATTTGCACCGTATGCTCCTGAGAAGCTGCTGATCTCCTCACCCACTCAGCCTTTCCCCCTGGGGTGGAGGGGCAGGAGAGTGGGGGGACAATAGAAAGTTCAGCCACGGGAATCTTTAATGAGTTGGGGACGCTCACGGCATCAAGAGACAGCACTAACAGACCTGCATCTACTGAGATACAAACAAGACGTTGGGTTCTTTCCATTTGTCAACAGAACGCAAACCGTGCTTCATGAGGCTGTCGCGGCAGTGGTGGAGGTGGTGAAGGCATCAAACGCACACACACGCACACACTTCAAATCCAGAAAGAGAAAAAAATTACGGTTCTGATGGTGAACGTACAGCAGTTGTTTCCACATCTATTATTGCTTTTAATATGGGACCAAAAAAAACCCCACAAAAACTCATCACTTCATTGCTATCCGTCTTAGTAGGTTTCTGAATCCTTTCTGATCCACCGGTTGACAGATGGCTGGTTATACACTGACAGAAAAATATTATCCTTTTATAACCAAATTCATTTTCCTCTGACAAACAGCAGCGCTGCTGCTATGGAAATGAAAGTCACCATGGCAACGGTAAACAACCCCCAAGAACGGTCAGTGAATGGGCTGAAAGGAGCAGCTGCCCCAGAGTGGCGTCCCAGCTGCCCGGGGTGAGGCTCCCCGGCTGGGCGGGGAGGCCAGACGACAGGCGCTGCCGCCAAGCCCCGGGCACGTGAAGGGAGGCGATGGCCACAGCCTGGCCCTGGAGATTGCCACCAGCGTGCCCCCTGCACCGGTGACCGATGACGGCGGGGGCCCCTTCACATGCATCAGTTCTTGTACCAATTACACACCCCAAAATTCAGTTTACTGCTAATGGCTTCATGGCACTTTATTTGGGGTTTTTATGCTAGAAAATGACTTTCTTTTTACCGTTTAAAAAAAAAAGTACATTTTTCATAACTTTATAGGAGCAGTTTAATTCCAGGGGAAGTAATGTGATGCAGTATAAAGCCCCACAGGCGATTAATAATAATATGAATGATGCTGGTTCCAAAAGACAATGTCTCAAAAAAGGAAAAAAAAAAAAAGAAAAGAAACAAAACAAAGGTAAATGAACTAGACTCTGCAGGCCTTTTCCTGTTTTACCTGCAGGAGATCCATTACTTACACTCCATAATGGAGTGCAAGTTTATTTTGATAAGTACATTGTATGAGAAACAGGTAAATTAATTTATTTGACAACTCCTGGGGCGAAGTTCCTGAAACAGTCATCGATTCTCCCTGATCTTAAAATACTAATGCACACACCAGCTGAACGATGAATCAAAAAACTTAAATTCACACTCGGTGCTGTCAGGGTTGCTGCGGCGCCTGCCCTCTCATCTCCCCACCAAGACAAAGGGCTCACAGTGCCAAGGTACTGCTGGCATCCCTCAAGCCACGGGCAGCAGGCAGCTCCCGGGAGGTCACGGTGGGGGCCAAGGCCTTCCTCTTGTTGGAAAAGGCCTTTCCTCTCTCGGGACTGAGAGAATATGCCCGTTTCCCCTCGCCAAGCAAAAGTTCTTTGCCGTCTTCGAGAACGCAAGTGTTGCAGGCAACCCACGGCTCGCCTGCCTGGGGGGTCCCCACCTCCCCGGCCACTCCCGCGTGGAGCTTTCCTGAGTGACCAGGAGGCCTGATGGGGACAGAACAAGAGGAAACACAGGTAAGGAGTCCTGAAGCTTTTCCTGCTTGTTTTGTCAGAAAATGAGAGAAAGTAGTTCCATACTCTTCAAAAACACATCTGACCTCAGGAGGAAGGTGTCAGGGACCACAGATGGAAAGACAGAATGAAAGAAACGCAAAGGGAAGAAAGAGAACCTTAAAGGGAGAGAGTACCCACATCGCACGGATTTTGCAGAACCTCAGTGGGGCAGCCCCCAGGACAACACGGGTGGCGGGGAGAGCTTCAGACACACACAGCATCCACTCCAGCCCCTAACTCGCCAGCCCCCACTGAGCCAGAAAAACACACAAGCTAAGTAAAAATAAGACGCTTCAGGACAAGCCCTCCAATCCTTTCTTCCACCCAGATTTGACATGCCCAAGGCCTCCAGAGATAAACATTCCATTGTTATCTTGGCGTTCCTGCTGGTCTCCAGGCATTTGGGGTAAGTGTAACACCCAGCCTTCTCATTATTTCATTCGTAATCAGGTCCTGAACCCCACTCTCCATTCTGCATGGGTCGGAGTCCCTGGGAGCATAAGCCTGAAAAGGCAGCAGAAGGAATGGAGAGAAGACCCGGAACGCCTCCATCATGACTTCTTGGCAGGTGAATTAGCAAATATGAGAACTGCAAACGGTATGAGCAAATGGTGAGGAAACGTGTTTGTGCAGGAGTGTGCTCCCTGGAACGACGGTGCCAGCCCTTCCCCAGGGGTACAGCGAGAGTCACCCTGGGGGTACAGTCTGATGAGCATGACAAATTTTATACCACTGCTCATTGTTGTTCAGTTGCTAAGTCAGGTCCGACTCTTTGCAATCCCATGAACTGCAGCACGCCAGGCTTCCCTGTCCTTCACTATCCCCCCGAGTTCGCTCAAACTCATGTCCATTGAGTCGGTGATGCCATCTAACCATCTCAATCCTCTGTCGTCCCCTTCTCCTCCTGCCCTCAATCTTTCCCAGCATCAGGGTCTTTTCCAATGAGTCNGAACCCAGGTCTCTCATGTTGCGGGGGGATTCTTTACCAGCTGAGCCACCAGGGAAGCCCAGTATTATTAAAATGTTCAAGTTTTTTCCCTTAAAAAAAAAAAAAAATCAAGAAAGCAATGCACGCCCATTGTGAAAAGAAAAACAAAACACGGTGGGTACAACGTGAGGAATGAACACCTCCCCTCCCCACAGACTCAGTCCCAGAGTTACAGCTTTTTGCTCACCTGTTCAGAACCTGTCTATGCAAATACAGGCATTTACTGAAATACCAGCGTACATATACTCACACACACATACCTAGTTTTAAAAAACTGGTTCCTATGGAAAGTACTTCTCTGGAAAGGACTCTTCCCCCTTATTTTTCAGTTAATGACAGATCTTGGCACACTTTCATGTTAGTGTCTATCAGCTGAAGTTTTTTGTGATGACTTTTTCATGCAGAAAAACAGACCACAGGGCCAGGAGGGCCACGGCCGCTCCTTCAGACTGAAGACCCCAGCATGCAGACACCTAGCCCGTGGAGCCGGAAACCTGGCACGGACAGAGCTTCTCCCGACGGATCCAGAGGCCTGGAGACAAGGCCTGGGCACAGCCAGCGCCCTCCCCGCCCTGCAGAACAGCGAGGCTCCCATCTCCCCCTCCCCGGCCCATCACAGCCCTTGCTCCTCAGCCTCTCTGAGGCGCTCACTGCAGCGGCCCCCTCGGTAACACGCTCGTTCTCACGAGCACACTTTGGGGCGGCTTCCCAGAACCCGCCCGCTGATGCAGGAGACAGAAGAGTCATGGGTTGGATCCCTGGGTGGGGAAGATCCCCTGGAGGAGGGCATGGCAACCCACCCCAGTATTCCTGCCGGGAGAACCCCATGGACAGAGGAGCCTGGTGGGCTCCAGTCCACGGGGTCACAGAGTCAGACGCGACCGAAGCGACTTAGCACAAAAGTCTCTCTGCCTACCTCCCCACCCTGCTCAACCTGGCTTACCAGCGTAAGTAAAGAGGAAGATGTTTTTCGGGCCAGGAACTCTTTAGGAATGAAGACCCACTTGGCAGAAGCCAACCTTCTGATGTGTCTGGGGAATGAGGCTGAGGCAGCAGGGCAGGACAGGGGCACACCGCCCTCTTTCTTGAGGGGGCCGGGGTGGGGTGTGGTGGGGGGGTGGGTACTGAGCTCAGCATCCTAGCGCTGCAGGCCGCATCACTTCCACTAGGCTGGCTCGGTGAAATGCCAAGTACGCCATCATGGGAGCTTAATGCTCATCTTCAAAACCCAGCCCATCTCTAATCCCACATTTAAAAAAAAAACTCCTCGCTTCTCAGGCTTCAGTAACAAATGTTACTTCTCTGCTGGCCCGGTTCCCAGCGGCCCATTTCAATTTTCATCTTTAATACAGCTGTCTTATCACATTGCCTCTTCTCTGCGCTATGAGACTGAAAAATGGTCACACATTTTAAAGATGTTTTCGAACCCTCTTTCTCCTGAAGGTATAGACATGATTATATTACCCTACAGTGAAATAGGAGGTAATGAAGTTTCCAGAACCAACTGTTCAGCTGTTTAGATTTAAAAAAGAAAAAAGAAAAAAAAAAGACTGGTTTATATTACCAAACTGTGGAAATGGTTTCTTCCGGGCGCCGGGAGGAGCCTGCACCAGACAGGCTGCGGGGTCTTAGCCCCCCAACCAGAGATGCGAGCGCTGCCCGCGGCAGTGCAGAGGCAGAGCGCTAACCACTGGCCCGCCAGGGAGAGCCCCCAGCTAGTCTCTTTAATTAAATAAACATTGTTTTCAATCTCCTGTCAGTTTTGTGGGATTTTAGCTCCCTGCCCGGGGACTGAACCCACGCCTCCCGCACCGGCAGCACAGACTCTCAACCACTGGACCGCCAGGGAGGTCCCGAGGAGGCTTCTTCTCCGTGACTGTGCTGGAGCGCACGAGGCCAGGCTTGAGGAGGCTTGGCGTTGACTCCGGAGGCCGTGGCTGATGAACCCGTGACTGGTTTTGCTGGATAGGAGCGGGCTCCTCTTCCAAGGCGCTGGGGGCGTTGCTGGATCGGAGCGGGTTCCTCTTCCAAGGCGCTGGGGGCGCTGTTTCAAACCGCAGCGCACGGAGCTCCTGGCTCCGCCCCCGACGCTCCCTGACTTCCGCTTTCTGGCTCATGGCTGCCAGAAACGTGTGCTCCACGGAGAACCTACCCAAGGGGCGTCTGCTGCCAGGCCTGCGGGGGCAGCTAGCGAGCAGGCTCTGACCGGCGGCTCTGGGGCCGCTGGGCCTGATGGCCGTGAGCAGGGGGCATCGGTGGTTTACGGGAGGGGCTGCTGATGCTGGGGAGAGGGAGAGGGGTACAGGCCGAGCCTTCCAGAGTCTGGACTTCCTCACTTTGGAAACCTCCTGTTTGGTCCTGCCTTCCTCAAGAGCAAAAGCCCACCACCTGGCGGAAACCGGGAAGCCAGCTCTGCGTGTGGCTGGCTTCCAGGGGTGGGAATGGGCATGGGGGTGCCCATGAGAGCCCCGAGCCCCGGAGGACCTGGCCACACCGATGTCTCGGAGGAAGGGTGGACCAGGTCCAAACGCTGCAGGCAGGCTCAGGCTGGGGGTCCCTGAGATGAGAGCGCAAGGCCCGCTGGGATGACGGGGGGCACCACGGGCCTGGATGCACACCTGGGGCTCGGGTGTTGGCATTCCTGCGCGATACTCTCACACACCCAAGAGAGGCTAACACTCTGGGCATCCATCCAGGTGGTTAGGGGGCTCCAGGGCACCTACCTGGGGCGGTTTTCCCCTCCCCAGCTATCACTTCTCCCCACCGACTGGAAGGTCGGTTCCTGCCCAGGCCCCACCGGAAGCCACTTCCTCCTCTAGCAAAGGCCACAGGATTCCCGGCAGCTCCTGCACCAACCCCTCCCCAGCCCCGGCGGTCCTCCTGGGGGCCTGGCCCCCACCAGGCGCTGCAGTGCTGTCCCTGCCGACAGCTGAAGACTTCCATTTGCACAGTGTCTCCAACTAGCTCCGTCTTCAACTGGGTGGACGTGCAAAGCCTCTTTTCCAGAAGCAAAGAGCCCCTCTCAGAGTGACACTGGCAGGTGCGTGAGAGTCGGTGCCACACGGAACGCTGGCATCAGTGACCCAAGGCACAGAGCGACTGCCTGCCTGGGTCTCAGCCGTCTTCCTCCCTGAGAGCTGGAAGAACGATAAACTCTGAACACCGGGCACACAGGAGTATAAATTACGCTGACTCACCAGCATTCCCAAAGGGGCTAGGGAGCCATCGATTTCCCCAGACCTGGTAGGTGACGACGGTCATCAGTGAGGACAAGTCAGAACTAAACCTCAGCCCGTGCTTTCTACATACTGATCGCGCACGCCATCCTGTGCAGCCAGCCACCCGGATGGTGGATGATCATCAGCTGAAGAAAGCGTTTCTCATGCTGGGATCAGTCACCTTACTAGAGAGCTGCCCTCAAGCATGAGGAAGAGGGGCAGCTGCCATTCTGGACACAGCTCTACCCTCAGGTTAGCTGCACAGTGGGCAAGGGTCACGCTTTACGCCTGGGAGCGATGCTCAGCATCTCCCTTTATTTACTTCAAGACAAGTATTCCAAGAACCTGTCTGCAGTCAGGGGATGTGGATGGGGTGAGGGGAGTAAATAAAAAATGAAATGATTTGCCTGTTATAGCCCAGGAGGCTGGAAATAATCCTGCAGCTAGTAGTGATGGGTGGTTGGGTGAGTTTGGGGGGCAAGGGGCCCAGAGGGACACGTGCAGCTCCCCACCCCAACCCTCTGTGTCTGCACCCCAGGGACCTGAGTTCAAGGGCGCGTCAATGAGCTCCCTCACTTCCGTACAACGGATTTCCAAAGGAACATCAGTGGTAAAGACGCGCCTGCCAATGCAGGAGACGTGGGTTGGATCCCTGGGTGGGGAAGACCCCCTGGAGGAGGGCATGGCTACCCACTCCAGGATTCTTGCCTGGAGAATCCCATGGACAGAGGAGCCTGGGGGGCTGCAGTCCATGGGATCGCAGAGTCGGACACAACTGAGTGACCGAGCACAGGCTGGGGAGAGGCCTGCCCTGACCAGGAGTCGGCCAGAGAAGGAGGGACTTCTTTCAGTCCTGCTTTCAGCTCCCAGAAAGCAGATACGTTAGCACTGTTTGGTCACCCTTTCTCAGACGAAGAGTCACAAACATACGCTACTAAAACCTGAATATTCGTCGGAAGGACTGAAATCGAAGCTCCAATACTTTGGCCTCCTGATGCAAAGGGATGACTCACTGGAAAAGACCCTGATGCTGGGAACGACTGAGGGCAAAAGGAGAAGAGGGCGGCAGAGGATGAGATGGTTTGATGGCATCAGCGACTCAATGGGCATGAATCTGAGTAAACTCTGGGGTATGGTGAAGGACAGGGAGGCCTGGCGTGCAGTCCATGGGGTCGCAGAACAGTCGAACAGGACTTGGCAATTAAACAGCAGCAGCAATAAAACCTAGTTACTTACAATCTGCTTGGGGTACCTTTTTAAAAAGTGATTTTTGTTGTTGTTTATTTATTATTCGCCCACATGGGGGACAAGCCCATGCAGCTCTGCAGTAGAAGCGTGGCGTCTGGCCCACTGGACCGCCAGGGAATCATCTGTCCCGGGTGCCGGGATAAACGGCGGAAGGAAACACACAGGCTCTCTTCCCTACACCCACACACGAGTACGACAGCGGGCTGACACCATCGTGCCTCCCTGGGTCAGCGGGTCCTGGGAAAGCCCAGCTCCTTCTCCACTAGACCCGAGTCTTAGACACCAAGGGGGCGCAAAGCAGGGAGAAGCGCCCTTCCCGCTGGAGACACGGAGGCCCTGGTTCCCGATCAGCCTGCACATGCCGCACTGGAGCCCCGACGCTGCTCCGGGGGGACTGGGACGCCCTCTTCATCAGAAACGGTGCTGACTGCCGCCGACCCACCTCCCTTGGCGATTCCAGAGAGGATCCAGGCTGCGGATTCTCGCAACAGGATTATTGGCCACTGAACTCTGTCTGGGCCGCGGTTTTAATGCTCAGCCTTTCATGCTTCCTGGTCTAATCCTCACCCCCAAATACATTAGGGGGAGAAAAGATAAAAGCACATCTGTTGCTTGGTGTTTGTGTGTGTATGTCTGTGTCTGTGTGTGTGTAGCTCTTTGAAACATGTTTATTCAGAAACAACTTAACACTACGGAAGATACTGATTGAAACATCAAAACAAAGCAGAACAAAGCACTTGTTTCCTTCATCCTGAAGGTGAACTTTATAGAACGTCTGTCCCGAGGCTGGCTCCTGGGAAACCCGACACTTTCTAAGGGTTGCAAAGAAGGTGGATACGATGAGGAGACTATAATTCCATTTTCGCTGCCTCATGCTTTCTCAGTTGCATACAGACAGACCCTGGCCCCATCCATCCACTGCTGAGAACAGAAAATCTCATGAGGTTGTTAAGAAGTAATTCACTTTAGACACAACTAAATATGGAAATACATGGAAATGCAGATTCAGGATTAAGACTGCAAATACAAGTATCACAGAAATAAAAAGGATTAAGTTTTCCACTCAACAAGATTTCCACGTAACGCTATGCTACTGGGAGAGCTCTTAAAGGAGGTACCGAGCAGCTGAGAGGGCAGTCGACCCTAAGGGTGGAAGATCTCCGCACCCTGAAGGCCTGTGGGTGGGCAGGGTAGGAATGATTAGTGTGACTGTGAAGCTGTGAGCTAACCTTTTGGTGGGCAAATGGGAAACTGGTTGTGAAGACAATTAAAAAAAAAAAAAAACAGAAACAAACAAACACACACAAAAAAAACAAAAAAAAACCCCAAACCAGAAAAACAAAACAAGAAACAACCCCAGAAGTTTTCCAGAACAATTTTGGGGAATGTCTGCATCCCTGGAACAAGTATTCTGTCTTGAGGCTACGTGGAAGGATCTCTCTTATTTTGGATGTGCTTGAAAAAAAAAAAGAATTGAGCTCCTTGCTTTCCAACCACACAGCACACAAGAGTCAAAGAACCAGTCCATAAAGACTCCAAGTCGGCATCGCGGAACGAAGGAGGCCAAGTGCTGAGGGCAGAGCTGGTTGGGGAAGCAAGCTTGTAAAGGAGGGGAGTCCGGGCCGAAGCTGACTTCCTTCTGCAGATCCTCTGTGTTTGTTCCGGAAATATACGTGCTAAGCCAGAGCAAGGTTTCCAGCGTGTGTCTGGGGCATATTCGTTTCTGGAAAAACCAAGAGGTG